TAGCCTCCGGAGGCACGACTGGAGGTTTCCGTAAAGGAAGTCGACAATGATGGACCTGTTGCCTTCCACTCGCGGCCGCCGTAACCAAGCCGATTAACAAGAAACTGGCTGGACTATCCTCTCAAGCACCCTCTGGTTGGTAGGTGGGACGCTTGATATCACTCCTACCGCTTCGATATTGGTCGAGTTAAGGCGATCGGCAGATTTCTGTCGCGATTTTCTTGTTGGCTGATCTTCCACTCTTTCCGCTGTGTCGACAGCCGTAACCAAGGCACTCGACAAGCAACCAGTCACTGTGGCGTGTCGAGCAACCTTTGTTTGGTAGGTGACTGTCTTGGTTTGGGCTCAATCGGTCGCGATTCCAGTTTTCGGTCGTCGATCTGTCGACAGGTCTCTATCGGCTGATTTGGCAACTCCTCTTTCTTCCACTCTGCTTCCACACGAGTATAGCCACTCTTGTGCGTGCAATCTGCGACAATGTTAATCCGATGAGATCCAGTCAGGGTAGATGCACAAAGAGCTGGCTGGGAGTGGAGAGCTCTGCTTGGAGCCTCACTCCTCTGACAGTGGGAATGGGCCAGCCACAAAGCTGGCTGCCGCTGTTATTCAATCTCCACAGCAATGATTGAACAACTCACTCTTTGCCTTGGCACAATCCACACAGGAAGGCTTCAACTGTGGGGAAACTAGTGCTACTGAGGCTGTATCTGGTCAACTATCCTTTCATTACTTCTTCTTCTTTAAACTATGCTAAAATCAACTGAACACAAAATCCTCGACAGCACTCAGCCATGCAGCTTTGGCTCTCTTGCATCTCATTTGGCTGGTGCTGGCAAGCTAACTTTCTATATTGGTCTTGGCTGAAGAACTGCATCATCCTTGGGTATATAGAGTTCCTCAGCTATTTCTGTATTGCCAGATGGCTGCACTGCTGACCCTACTGTTGGAGTATACAGATGTCACAGCGATTCTTCCACCTGGCTAAACCAGCACAGCTGCTTCGCACCACAATGGGAGTTCACGTGGATTTCCACTCATCGCCTTCCTGCAGGAGCATCCACACAAGACTACAAGCAAGCTCCAAGGAACAAGCAAGCACAAGAGTGCATTACCACACCAAGAACAAGACATGAGATTCCAAGGAAGAGGGGTCGTGGTAGAGGAAGATACCCTTCAAGGGGGGTAGGGGATTAAATTCCTCAGGAAGAAGCCATCAAGGCAGAGGCAACAGCTACAGGAACCAAAACAAGAGTTCCAAGCGCCAGTTCCTGTTCCATCCAAATGGACAGGCAGACAACAGGTACTACCCTTTTGAAGAAACTCTGACCCACATTGTTCAGAACCTAAGGATCAAGCCTGAATGGAATGATGTGCCTCTGGCTTCATTGGCCATTGAAACTATGACAAGTCAGGCACCAACCAAGCCGGACAAGCCGAAACTCAAGGCAGCACTTGCTGATCCCAAGGTCCAAGAGTACGATGCTTTGGAACTCAGCGAATACAAGGCAAAGTCATCCATCTATGACAAGTTGACTCGCTACTACGAGAATATCCTCCAGACTGGTGCAGCTACCATTCACATGACATACTGTACCGAGTCAATGAAGTCCAAGTTGGGAAGTCTAGGTGACTATGAGGATGCAGTGAAGCTTGACCCCATCGTCATGCTCAAGAGGATCCGTTTGATAGTGATGAAAGGCTCTACCAAAGAGTTCCCATTGCTATAACTGGTCAAGACCATCCAGCGTGCTGGTTTGTTCCCGAAACAAGGTGAACACGACAGACTTGACTACTACTTGAGGAAGGTCGACAGCGACATGGATCAAGTCTATAACCTGGTAGGAACGCAAGACACGTTGATCTATAAAGTCATCTACCATAAAGGAAAAGGACATGGTTGGTTGGTTAACTTCTTGCCTCCGGTTTTGACAAGAAGGTTGGATAACACAGGATGCGGAAACAGAGCCATTCATTGCCTTGCCGCCACCTAGTAGGACCGGCAAAGGACATCCCCAGATTCTACTGGTATTGTCGTACAGGCAGGAGCGACTTTGGTAATATGCCAAAGGTTGATGCGACAGGAGCCGCTATTAACTTACTAAATTACAAATTCAAATTCAAATTCAAATCTAAACGTAATTTTGACCGTCAACTCCACCAAGAACCATGTTCACACCATCCTTCTCTTCGTACTCTATAATAGTATACCCGTAATTAGGAATGAAATATCTAATAACACCAACAGCAATGCCCTCTAGCTGATCGTCATTCAAAGCACAACTGGCCACATGATGCCCAGGCTGAAGGCAAAGACTATGCATCCCGCCGCAATAAGGACATCTAATCTCTGTAGCTAGTACCCTGTTTCCTCAATGCAACAGGAATTCCGTAGTATTCCTGCAAATACACTCGCATATCCTCCAAACTCATAGGGACCCATTAGCAATAGAATTATCTGCCGCCATGGTTGCGGTTAAGTACTACACAGCCACACCAAAATAATATCGAGAATACTATCCTTCACCGAAATAGGCCTCTGAGGGACATGTGGGTGCAACATCCAATAAGGATAATCACTTGTGCCACAAAGAGCGGTAGTCTCACGCACCTCTGTCTTACTTAGAAACCCTTCCGGTTCTAAAAGAACCCTCTCGATCTCAGGTGTGTCGCCAAAAGGCATGTTGAATTTATATCTTAACACTATTAAGTCGTAATTAAATTCAATCACTTGAATACCCTATCCATCCCGGCTTCCGGAACATCTTATCGGTTATTATTATTCTGTAAAGAACACTCCAATGCCTGGACGACCCCAATACACAAGGTAATCAACGACCTCCAGAAGAGTCATGGTCTCGAATGGATTAGAACGTCTATGTCCTACCATTGATTCACCAACCTAGGAGAGATGTTCATGGGCGACCTATCGAGGAAGCTCACCAATGACATCATCTCCACCGAGTTCCAAAATGAAACCTGCAACTGCAAGCCAGGAAACAAGAAATACGGCCAATGCCAATTTCACGACCGCCGTAGAAACAAACTAGTCATATACTGCATCAAATGCATAGACTCAGGCAAGGAATACATTGGGGCAACCCAACAAAACGTTAAAGAACGAACATACCAACACTTCACCGACGACATGCGTCTCCTCTATGGAAAATGCAAGTCAGATTCATACGCAAGACACTTCGCTAACGAATTCCAAAACTTTGCACCTCCTTTACCATTCTGACTCAACGGCACCATTCAAAGGAACAGCATCGAAATTACCATCCTATGGCAACCCCATCAGCACTGTCAAGACATTCGGGACACGACACTGCAGCCTATGCAACAGGGAGCGACTCGAGATACTGAAATGATCCAGAAAATCGCCACAAAAGCTGATCAACTCCTGCAATGAAATATACGAAGCATGCCGACACAAATCACGATTTCATAAGTACCACAATAGCCCAAGCACTGATGATTCTCATGGGGAATGAAAAAGTCAATCAACCGAAAAGTTACCACAGAGTAAAGCCTGTGTTTTGGCGATTCGGCAGTTTGTGCTGATCGAGAGTAAAACTACTTAATTCAGTCACTTTTTGCTAAAATCGTATGATCTTATCAGTTAACACTTAAACTTCAATTCCGGATCGATGTGACCCTCTACCAGTTAACACATCTCAGTCATGTCACCTAACTTGGTAACTAATCTGTTAGCCGTTAACGTCTAACCACATCGGTCCACCTTATCTCTCTCAAAAGGTCATGAGGGTTTCTACCTCCCCTTGGACGGAAAACAAGTTATTAGACTGGAAAAATTGTTGATGGCTTTAGAACAAATAGTTGAGGTAAATTTAAGCTTAAAAGGTATTGTTTGTGTTGAAGATTTCTAAATAATTATAGTTTACCCCATCTACCATAAATGTGCAGCCTGGTTTCCTGGAACTGTTTTGAGTCTCCTCTAGACTTTAGAATACCTTCGAAGGAAATCGAAGGTACATGTAGTCTACCACACACAAATGACCATGACATCGACTGACTCAGTCATCACGCAACAGCCACTAGCCAGCTATTAGACGAAGCAGGGATGCTTCCATCATCTCGAGCATGAGGGGACCAGAGCTATAAAATGATAGAAAATTTGAGGCTTGGGCGTACATTTACATGTACATTTACATGTACATGTAATCTGCTTGATTGGCTGATGACAACACAGCATGAATGCCGACCAGTTTTTAAAAGGTTCCACTCAACAGCAATACAAACAAGAAGATTCACGCTTTCTTTTCTCGTTCCTCCTTCCTTGGTGGTGATGCAGCCTCGAAAGGATTACATGCACTGTAATTACTATGATGTGACTGGACGCCACATTGGAAGAATCGAATGATCATTCGGCAAATCATTCGATTCAATTTATCATTCAATCGAATCGAATTGAATCTTCAAGCGCCGGGTTCAGACATAACGGGGGGTTTAGAGTAGGGAAATTATCTATGGAAGCCAGCTGGGGCCAGGCTTTTAAAAGCTCGAAATTCAGGACTAGCTAGGTTCTTTGGGATCAGGGGCAAGAAATGAGGACCATTCGGGGGGGGGGGCAAAGGGTTGGCTTTGCGGGATCCACAGAGACATGGGTTCAGACATGCATCAGACCAAGATCTTAGCTCTCTCCAATCCAAACGGTAGTAAACCTGATCTTCAAAATTCAGACAGCTACAAGGAGGTCTTCATCATGGCTCAGGCTTAGTGTTGGTACGGTACGACATGCAATAGAAGCGACGAGCCAAGTTTATCCGAAATGCAGGGTCTACATGCATGTATCTGCATCCTCAGCAGCAAGCTCTCAGAAGTATGGTTCTTCGGACAACTACTGTTGCGAGTCCAGTTGACAGAGGACATAATAATGTTGGATCTTGGATCTTGGACGATCTGTTCGATCAAGCCATCCGAAACGTTGTCATTATTTGGATTGATTGGATTCGATTCCAATCAACAAGAAGTTCATGATCATGATCTTGTCCATCCTCTTGCTCGTATTCTTCACAGTACTAATAGGAGCTGTCAATGCCTCCAAGTTGTATCAGAGGCCCGAAACGGACAATGTCACAACATGGCTGGATGCAAGGCACTTTTGCGAGGCAAGGCAAAGTAAGCTCGTTGGGAGGCAGGAACTTTGCGACTACTTTACTACCAAACCTTTGACCGAAAGTGGGGACCACTGGGCCCCTACCATTGCCACAAACGAGACGGATAGTGCTACTAGTAGTAGCTATGAGCAGCAGTGGGTTCAAATTGGTTCTGGCACACCAGAGTTTTGCCAAATCTATGATCCACAACGGGAATGCCACGAAGAAACGGAGGCGCCCACCCACAGCCCCACAGTCGCTCCCACCATTGGACCCAAGGAAATTTACACTTGTGGGGAGCAACCAGGTTCTACCACTACTGTCCTGCACAACGGCACCAACCCTGTCGCACTTTCCACAGATATTCAGCAACATTCCGTATGTGTCCTCCTTCGCACGTCCGATGGAGCCGCCTTGGGGCGGCTCTATGATGCGGGTGCGGGAAAGAAGACATGGCAGCGATCGGCCATGTCCAATCAAGATACTACAGTCCCCAAGCCAGCCTTCACCTGTGACGGTGACGACGAATGTCAAGTTGTCATTCCAAATGACGGAAACGACTATCAGCTCGTCACATACAAAGCACCATCCGTTCTCAACCCGAAACAAGAGGCTTCACGATTCTTGGCGCAGACAACGTTTGGGCCCAAACTGGAAGAAATCGAGGCTTTGGCGGCACCCTCGAGTCAAGCCTCTCGATTCCTCTATGCCACCACCGCCAAGTACAAGGAATGGATACAGAACCAAATGGACGAAACGAAAACTCCACCCACGCTGCATCGCGAGTATTTTCGTCGTCGGGCCAACCAGAGAATGTACACCGCAAATGAAGTCACAACGCCCCGACATGCATGTGAGACACTGTCGCGATGGCATCGATTTGCCTTTACCCAAGAAGATCCAGGGACGGTCTTCACCATTCATGGTCATCTTATCGTGTCCAACAACAAGCAAAGCCAAAAGGTCACCGAAGTGGACGCACTGTGGTTGGAAGAACTGGATCCTGCTATGTATACAAAGAAAGAATTTGTGATTTGCACCGTCGTCGAAGAAGTCCATGGAGCCATGGAGATTGACCAAGTCAACGGGGACTGTCAAAATGCACATATCGTCACCAATCCTCCCATTCAATTCGAGCCATCGTCCATCCAGCAGCAAGAAGTCCTAGTCGACAAGGTGAAACTGCTTCCCCTGGAACCCCCCATTCAAGATGTGCGGTTGTCACAGATCCTGGCGACTGCCACTTGTTCCGAGCCCGATGTTGACAACGATAGCCCACTTTTCCTGCAAGACCCGGATACCGGAGATTACTACCGACATGATGGCAGGATGAAGCTTTTGGAGAACACGCTGGAATCAGTGGCGGCCGCTGATGCCATGAGGGGTGCCTTGGGTGACCCTAACTTGTGCCCCAATGTGGACGCCACGTTCGTCAATCGAGATTCTTGCTACGTCACGGCGGAGCCAGTGTGTGGATCTACCACCCCACTGTCGCTCGTCTGCGGTTCTCCTGGCGAGGTTGCCAATGAACCATCCATTGGATCTCGTTTTCCCTTTGGTTGGCCCAAAAACCTTTCGGAACAGGGCAAGACAACAGAAGAGTACGTTTGGAAATGCACCAAATATTGTCAATTCAGTCTCTCTTACAGCCGTCTTTTCCACTCATACGCACAGAGGACTCTCAATGGCCCACCAAGCATCCAAGTCAACTTGGGCTATGGTCTCCCTTCATGGCAAAGACCAGCTCCGGCAGCGAATCGCCTTTGCGTTGTATGGCATTCTTGTCGTCGGCGGACCAGCATACGCGTTTCACGAATCTCGGAATGTTTATTATGATATCTTTGTGCGCCATGCTTTTGGGAACTATCGCGACGTCCTCAAGGAGGTCAGTTTCCATTCATTGATGGGAGATTACTTGACCTTTCGAGGATCTAGGTCTCTTCCTTCCAGCGGTACCCTCCCTGTAAGTTGAGACACCCTTACCCAAACCACCCTCAGACAACTTCATGCTGATTCCACGTCTCTTCCATCGCCGTGGTACCCCCTACAGGACGAGAACTATGCCCGTGAGCTCCTGCAGTTGTTCACGATCGGCCTGAACCACTTGGAGATGAATGGAGACGTTGTTTTCGACCCTACCAGTGGCGACCCGGTCCCCACTTATGATATTAAAGACATTAGTAAGTGCAATCTGGACCCGCCAACCACAAAGCTGCTGCGATGTGTTTCGGGGGTTCTAACTGCTTGAAAATTGTTGTCTTTTGTTATTATGTCCCATTGGCAGTGTCCATTGCAAGAGTCTGGACGGGTTTCCAGGAACGAGCCTATCGTGGTAACATCGAAGTATTCGACACGGGGCACAGATACCGAAATAGGATGGATCCAATGCTGATCGAGCTTCGTTGGCACGACATCAAACCCAAATCTGACCTATTGGGTGGTTACATTGGCGACCGATATCCTCTGTGCACTGACCTCCCAGAACGAGATTTTCTACGAAAAGGTTCTACGTTTGACTTCGTTTCTTCCTCAGATGATGCAGATTTGGTCTTGGATTCTGGCGGCCTTTTCAATGAGCTGTGTAACCCTGCCCAGAACGGTGGTCCCTGCCGATTTGCTCCAAGAGTGGTGCTTGATAACAACCTGAGTTGTCATGGACCCGAATGCAACCTTGCATCGGTGACTGTTGTCAGAGTGGGAGATGCAGTCTACAAGCATGTGTACGTTCACGATGAGACTCTCTTTGTTGCGTTGCGTTGTGGCTTGGCAAACCTCTCACAGTTCTCCAATTTTATGTGCTCCACAGCCCAAGGAGGTGTGTTTCCCTCCAGTTCTTCAACGGTGGTCGAAAGGCTGTTCGTATGTACAAAGATTACTGGTGGTGGAGAGAGGCATGTCTTGATCCACGAGAACCTACCACTGCAGGAGAAGTTTGCTGTGACAAGTCAGAACGGACCACCAAATATGTTTGCCCAACTAACAACCACGAGCATTTAGCATTTGCTTCCAACGAGGGGCGATGTCGTGACAAAGGCATGGAAACATGCGACACGTTCAATAAAAGACATGCTTGTGACTCAGGCTGCTGTCCCGAAGCGATTCGATATGCTTGGTCAGGTGCAGAGTGCTCGCTTAAAGTGAAAGTGGATCACGAAGGACACGTTGCTACTCTACATGAAGTTGACTATCCCCTTGACAGCATGGCAGAGAATAAACCAACTACCTGGTATGATGTTGATTGGGAAGACGAAAATGACATTCCCAACGTCAAGTCCAATGGCTGCGGAAGTTGTCAAGCAACTGGAAATATCTGTGTTTGTGATCTCTACGTAGTTGAAGAAGCAGCATTCAAGACGATGCCAAGTAGGCACGATGTCCTATCTCGGCTAAAAATCGGCAGCCTGTCCCCGGATGTGTTCGATGCTGAAACACACTCTAAGGATCAATCTTCCGCCGACGGATTGATTGTGCACCGACAACGTGATAGTGTCGAGTTGTTCAATGTTGACACAATATTCCAGGTGGAAAACGAGGTCGGTGATGTGATCTACCTCAAGAATATCATTTCTACTGTGAGTCTCGGCACAGCAAGATTTCGCAACCCGCCTGGTTTTCTCAACGTTTTCCAGGATGATCCCCAAAATCCCTCAGAGGAGCACAGGGCTCATTTTGAAGTCGACGCTCTGCTTGATCATCTCATGGTCCATCCTAACATCGCCCCGTTTGTAGCCTACCGGATGATCCAGCGATTGGTTACGTCGAACCCTTCGCCGAGGTACATTGAAGCTGTGGCAACGGCTTTTCGAAGTGGAACCTACGATGGAATAGGATCTGGCAAGAATGGCGACTTGGCGGCGACGGTAGCTGCAGTGCTTCTTCACCAAGACGCAAGGACAGTAGCTCTTGATGCTGATCCGAGTCAAGGACAGCTCCGGGAACCATTGCTCAAGCTCATGTATGCCCTGCGCTCTCTGCAAGTTACACCGAATGAACCCGAACAGCAGCTTTTGCTTCGCAATCAGCTGAATTCAAGGGTAAGGATCAAGTATCGCGACGCATTGCAGCACTCTCTACCTGAGCTTCCGTTTGAGTCATCTCACTGTAATGCATCTTATCGTAACCACAGATTGGGCAGATGGCACACGAAGCTGAATCTATTTTCTCTTGGTTTCGTCCAGGATACTCCTCCTTGGGCACCCGAGCAAACAATATGGGGCTTGTCACACCCGAGGCAGAAATTCTGACCACACCGCAGATTGTCGCCTTTGCCAATTCCATGTCTTCCCTAGCAAGGCATGGCGTTTCGGCTCGCGATTATGGCCCTGGTGACTATTGGTATGGTCGAGATTTTCTGGCTTTTGAATCCTCTTCGCCACCAAACGCCCGGTCATTTTCATTGCCAGAGGGTTTGGACCTTACCATTGCTGAAGGTCACATGAAAGGAGACGCCTACGCGCTTAAAGAAGGAGTGGAGCTCATTCTGGAACGTGGAGAGGGAGACAAATGCACTCAACAATACCGGGATGGGGAGCCGTGGACCATTTGGTGCAAGCTCGAACAAACTCTCGTTGACAAGACAGGATCATACGGTGTTGCACTTAAGCTGAGTGGAAGTGGTGGAAGCGTCGCAGCAAAGAACGTGGTTCGTTGGGGCTGGAATGGGAACATTCTAATCTTCCACCCCAGCGGCAGCCTGGCGGAAGTCAATGCTGCCTTTCGGCCTGGAGACACGCTTTCAGTTGTTTATCCCACCACCGAAGAAAAATGCATACAACAGTACGACAAGGATAGCAAGCCTTCCAGAGTGCGGTGCACCCTAGCACCAACAAAAGATCTTGGACATGAACCACAAGGCAAAATGACTTTCGACCTGACTGGACGAGGCGGAACCTTTTCTGCTAGAATCATCCGTGAGTGCTTTGGAACGTCGTGCAGGCTTCGAGAAGGAACCTAACCCAAACATGTTTTCTCTTTCAAACCCTCAAACACAGACTGGGCTTGGAATGGCATCCATCTATACTTTGATCAAGATGTGTCCATTGACGAGGTCAATGCTGCACTGCCTCCTGGCAGCCCAATTTCTCTCTCTGTCAAACTTGGGGACCCAATCGACGACCTTGAGCTTCTTCTCACTAATGGCCGGCTTTCTGATGACACACGTGCAGGTTTGTCGATTGGCTTGTAGCTACCTGTTCCACTCGACATCATTACCCGGCCGGGTAACACTCACGATGATTTGCTCTGTTGCTTCTCTGCAGCTATCGCCGCGGCACAGAACGCAGTGCTGGGTCTTGGCAAAGACGCTGCGTTGCAGTACGCCATCCAGCTATTCTTCATGACAAGCGAGTTTCAAGTCAGTAATGTTCCAAACGGTCTCCAGCGGGCATTGCCGACATCTTCAAAGGAGCTCCAGACAAATGGACCGCTGAAGACACCAAAGACCATCGTTTATGTTCAGCTTTCTGGTGGAGCCGATTCCTTCAACATGCTCGTGCCACATTCCCAGTGCAGTGGAAGCGACCTCTACGCTGAGTACAGTGCGATCCGGAATGACTTGGCAATCCCAAAAGACCGCCTTCATGCAATAGATGTACCAGCCGGTTCGCAACCCTGCAACAAGTTTGGAATGCACCCTAGCCTCGACTTTTTGAGCACCTTGTACAAAGAGAAAGACCTCCTGTGGGTAGCAAACACCGGAAGTCTAGTAGAACCACTGGGCCGGGATGAAGTAAAGAGCAAGAAAACCCCAAATAATAACTTTGCACACAACATCATGACATTGTGGGCTGAGAAAGTCCACACAAACAACAACAGAGCTTTGGGGGTGCTCGGTCGGCTTGCTGATGCGGTCAGAGGCAGATTCAAGGCGCACGCCTTCTCTGTTCGACGCACATCGGCAATTCAAGAGAACGACCCAGCGAAATCTCCATTACCGGATGTGATCTCTTCGCATTCAATCGAAACTCTCCAAACGAGAAATTTCTACGACACGATTGGCATCCAAGACGCTCTTCAAAATTTCACAAATCCATGCTCCAGCGTGTTCTGCGACCTCTGGTCGTCTGCTTTTCGGCAGGGGATTAAGCGAACAGAGGAACTGAAGAAGGTTGTGGACGCAAATCCCTTGAAGGCGGCTGCTAGTGGTTACTGGAAAGATGACAAGTCACAAATTGAGAAATCGTTCCGACAAATCTCTCGTCTACTTGCCGGCAACGAAGCTCTGGGCATTGACCGCCTTACCTTCAGTGCGGTGCAACCTCGCTTCGATGCTCATTTTGACAATGAAGCAGAGCTTTCAGAGCCTCTTGCCCTGGTTGACTCCGCATTGGAAAGCTTTGTTGCTGAAATGAAAGCACGTGGAAAGTGGAACGAAGTTGTTGTCGTCATCGGCTCCGAGTTCGGAAGGGCTCTTGTCAGCAATGGAGAAGGAGGGTGTGACCACGGCTGGTGAGTGAAGGAATTTGTGTGTCTTTTCATCACATGGTCACGTGGAAGCCTGTTCTTCACACATTGTCTTTTCTTCTTCCACCCCCCAGGGGAGGAAACTATATGGTTTTGGGTGGAGCGGTGCAAGGAGGCCAGATTCTTGGAGATTTCATTGACGATTTCAACCCTGACACAAATGAGTTGATGATGCGTGGTGGTCGGGTCATCCCAACTACACCGTGGGAGGCTGTTTGGAATGGTGTAGCAGAATGGTTTGGTGTCCCGGCTGATCGGATGTTGGATGTGTTACCTCTGAAAGACAACTTCCCAGGTCGCCTCTTTACAGGGGCTGATATGTTCAAACCATCCAGTCTCACGCGCCATCTACTCAAAGAGCAAGCATCTGTAGAAAGGAGGGAAAAGACATGTGAAATTGACCCTAACTATATTGTTTGTGATGATCCTCACGTGGACACAAAGGCTGCAGATGATGCATCACCTGAAGAGTCTGCTAAGGAGGGCAGTCCCACCACTGCGCCTACCCCAGCCGTCACAGATAGCCCCACTACCTTACCAACAGTGGGACCGACACACGATCATACATCGCCACCAACCAACGCACCAACTGAACATGTCACTGATGGACCAACCAGAAGTCCGACGTGGTCACCATCTGTTGCTACATCGGTAGAAACATTGTCACCGACGGTTGTCAGTGGAGAGCCCAGTGCTTTCCCCACAACTGGGATTCCAACCTCATCACCAACAGAGGAACCAACAAGCAAGCCGTCCCCATCACCTACAGTTGCTCCCACCTTGGCAACCTTGGCCCCAACCACCGGCCCGACAGAATCTCCTGCTACCGTTAGGCCAACAAAGTCTCCAACAAATGCACCCAACACCAATGCACTCTCACCTTCTACTCCAGCGCCCAGGACGTCAGCAGCTGTTCCTACTACAGGACCCAAAACAGCAGCTCTCGTCAACACGCTGCCAGGAAGGTGAGTCCATCGTTTGGCACCTCGTGTTTCAAAGCGACTGCTTTCCTGTACCGTACGTACGTATGATTGCTCACCACTGCTTTGCTTTTGCTTTTGATTTTGCTTTTTGCTTCCTGCAGCTTTGGAGATCCCCACATTCGGGGCTGGAATGGTGCAACTTGGGATTTCCATGGTAGCTGTGATCTTGTGCTGTTGCAAGACCTGACGTTCCACAACGGACTGGGATTGACCATTCATATTCGCACACAACTTAAAACTTGGTGCGTTGCTTGATGGACTCGACTCTGACTCGACTGTCACTCCTTCTGCATGGATTTGGTATTCCACGGGCATGCATTCATCTCATCTTCTTTCCTTTAAAATTGATTTCCCCTGCAGGTGGAGCTTTATCAAGTCTGCAGCCATCCAGATTGGTGACGATGTGTTAGAGGTTCAAGGAGGTGGCAATCAGAAGAAGGGCAGTCCGCACAGACTCTGGGTGAACGGAGTGGAAGACCCCAAACAAAGGACCGACTTTCGACTGTCGGAGGGTGATTTCAAGGTTCACATTCGCTATCCGACTCGGAAGCAAATGCTGGTTCGAATCGACTTGCAGCATGGCAATGCAATCTCTTTAGAGACGTACCACGACTTTGTCCGAGTGAATCTAAAGGACAGCAAGAATTCTGAATGGAGTACTTTTGCGGGCAGTGTTGGTCTGATGGGATCTTACCCGTCGGGTGATTTTCTCGGCCGTGACCAAACGACCGTCTTTGGCAATACTACTACTACTACTACTACTAGTACTAATATGACTGCCTTTGGCCAAGAATGGCAGGTTCGGGAGCAAGAACCCAAATTGTTCCATCGCGCCGAGGGACCACAGCACCCCGAGCCATGCACCATGCCCAATGATGAGTTGCGAGCCAAAGAGAAGCGGCGACGTCTTGGACCTTCCCTGCTTTCCTTGGAGGATGCGGAAGAAGCGTGCGGTCACACGGCCATCAAATCAGACCGGCAAGCGTGTATCTTTGATGTCTTGGCAACGAATGATCGGGACATGGCAGGTTCCTATGCATGAACATCTATCTGTAAAAGGCTACGGTGCGAGTATTTTTAAAATAGTACATTTGCATGTTTTAAAAAAAAATTGCTCATCAGCGACCTACGGTGTAGCTAGCTATCAACCAACCATGCAGAAGGGAGCAGCCACACTTTCTACTAGCTAGCTAGCTGCATCATGGAAGCTATGCATCGGGTACTATTTTAAAATTACTATCGTTTAGACAGGGCTCGGGCTACAACAGCAACTGGGTAGCTGAATTAGGTTTCAGGTTAAAATATCTTTCGCACCTCTACCGTAGCGCCTGTAGGCTGTTAACGCTCGATAAACATACTCTTTAGTAGTCTCTACTGACCGATAAAGGTCCTGCAAGCTCTATCTAGGTCTTCATTCATGTAGATTGTGCATTTGTGGTTGAGCGGCTACCAAGTTGCTGGTCGGCGTACCACGTTTCGGTACCGAATCAACAGGATTGGCCATTTCGCATCAACCAAAAAGCAATGACACCAAGCAATGGCGGAAATCGCCGTTCATCGGCGCATTCCAACACTTCTAGAGCCAACAACAATGCGTGTACTCCTAGGACACCCATGCGTAGTGTAACTGTGGCGAGATCTCCTGCGTCTGCCTCAGTTTCTGCGATTTCTTCACCCCATTCCGGGCACTCATCACATCAGCGTGGAAGCGAGTCGAATGATGGTTGTGTCGACCCAGACCAATTTGAGAGAGAGTATGATCGAAGCAGGTATGAAGAGAATCCGGGAGATCCAGAATCAGAAGATGAGGGTGATGGACCTGGCAATGCTGGAATTCTGCGAGAGGTTGCTGTTGAGCGAAATGAACACACGGAAGAGAATTTGGCCGCAGTGTTTGATGAGACGGATTTTGTTGCATCGTCGAACAACAACAACAGCAACTCAAGAACTATTGAAGGAGCTCCGCCAGCCTGGAAGCCACCTGAAGCGCCAGATAAGTGGAAGCCAAGCAGGCCCAAGACTGATAAGGGAGAACCAGCAACTTTTGAAGAAATTGACAATCCTGGTGAGTGGTCACAGTACAGCTATCAAGCTCGCTTTGCAAGGAAGAAAGAAAAGGGCAAGACCACCACCTCTTATCTTCATCATGCGCTCCCTACTGGCGCCACTCCCGTCCCATTGGATGAAGAATCTGGCAAGCGATCTGTGGGAGGATGGGATTTCCATTATCAGGGTTGGACGGCTCCTCAAGGAATTTCCTACAGGAATGGCGCAACACGTGATAACATGTTTCCTAAGGAAAGAAAAGGAAGCTTGGATAGGAAGACGCTGGAGCTGTTGGACATGAAGACTGAAAGGATGTTGCAAGAAGATGGGGCTCCTGACTCTTTGTTCTTTCATCAGCTTTTGCTCCCAATTGTGGATCCGGCGAAGTCTGTGAGAGGAGATCCACGGAAGGGTTTTTACCACAATGTATCACGATGGTCGAACCTTTATGCAATGGGAGAGTTGGAGCTTGGCAATGGGTATGGACATGACTACAGACCAACAAGTTCTCCTGAGCTTCTTCATTGGTATGGTGTAGTCATGATGGATGGCGTCTTGGGAGGAAGCAATGGCGCAATTCTACGGCGCTTTGATACTTCTCGTGACGATAACAAGGCTTTCTCTGAAGCTATTGCAAAGTCAATGTCCAAGTCGCGCTGGCTGGAACTGAAAAGAGTCCTCAAGCTGTGCAATAACAAGGAAGTTCCCAAAAAAGGAGAACCTGGATACAATCCGGCCTACAAGTTTGATTACATCTACGACGTCTTGGTGTCAAACTGCAATGCGCTGACCAAGAATGCCGGTCTGGATCTGGCAGCAGACGAAACAACTTGGGCCCACAATGGTTGGGGAGAAGCCGGAGCTGGACTGACTGGTTTGATTCTTAACAAGCCCCATGTTCATAAAGGTGGACAGGTTGTCATGATTTCTGATGTTGACCGAATCCGGTTGCGTGCTTATGTCCATCGACACAACGTCCACAAGGCACCAGATAATTGGCACTGCACCAAAGGGCAACTTGAAGCTCGAATGTTGATTGACAAGCTTGTTCCTCTCACGGTTGGCTATGGTGAGCCGGATCCAAATGATCCATTCAATCCTGTTGGAATCTTCTTTGATCCTCCACACATCACTTGGGATAACTACTTTTCAGGTGACAACGTTCTTGAGTACGCTGGACAAAAAGAGTTTGGAATGACAATGACTTGTCGCCGTGACAGATTACCTGCTTCTGTACCCTCGAAGTACATGCAAAAGGAGAAGACGGAAGTGTCCAGCCGTTCCAAGGCCGCACGATTTGAGAATCCCATTGTCCTGACCAAAAGGATCGCCAACACTTCCTCTCTTGCTGTGCACTGTTCCTTCCAGAGCACTTCGAGCTGCAACATCTCTACTGTCAATGCACTTAATTCCTGTGGCCTCTACGCAAGGACCAAGGAACGAGGAAGAGGTTCCAACAAAAGACAATGGGGTATTGAAATGAATGAAGCAAGGCAGCTTTATTTATCAACATATGGGGCTATTGACAGGCTTGATCATCTCGTTAAGCATTGCAACCTTTCCTATCGGTACGTACAATCAAGTCGCATTGACATTCTTCGCCGATGAGTGGAAATCCACGTGAATTCCCATTGTGGTGCGAAGCAGCTGTGCTGGTTTAGCCAGGTGGAAGAATCGCTGTGAAATCTGTATACTCCAACAGTAGGGTCAGCAGTGCAGCCATTGGCAATACAGAAATAGCTGAGGAACTCTATATACCCAAGGATGATGCAGTTCTTCAGCCAAGACCAATATAGAAAGTTAGCTTGCCAGCACAGCAAATGAGATGCAAGAGAGCCAAAGCTGCATGGCTGAGTGCTGCGAGGATTTGTGTTCAGTTGATTTTGCATAGGGTTTTAAAGAAGAAGAAGTAATGAAAGGATAGTTGACCAGATACAGCCTCAGTAGCACTAGTTTCCCCACAGTCGAAGCCTTCCTGTGTGGATTGTGCCAAGGCAAAGAGTAAGTTGTTCAATCATTGCTGTGGAGATTGAATAACAGTGGCAGCCAGCTTTGTGGCTGGCCCATTCCCAAGTGCCAGAGGAGTGAGACCTCCAAGCAGAGTTCTCCACTCCCAGCTCCTTGTGCACCTACCAGCTGAGTTCCTAACTGGAATTCATAGGATTAACTAGTCGCAAGACAAGCACAACGAGTGGCTACAGTGTGGAAGAGTGGAAGAAAGAGAAGAAGAAAGAATTCCATCGCAAACGGCTGCCAACCAGATCGACGACCGAAAACTGGAATCGCGACTGTTCGAGCCGAAACCAAGCATTCCACCCATCAACCAAGACGTCCTTGACAAGATACCGTTGTTGCAAGCCTGTTAATCGCCTTGGTTACGACGACCGCTAGTGGAATAAGAAGGAGGAAAATCACGACGGAAGAAAATCGCGACCAGAATCACGGCGATCGACTCGACGCAACCACTGGAGCGGTAACGACCAAACTAAGACGGTCACCTATCAAGTTGAGGTCGCTCTACAAGATAGACCAGGCAGTTTCTTGTTAATCGGCTTGGTTATGGCGGCCGCGAGTGGAAGGCAACAGGTACATCATTGTCGATCGATCTTCGATTTTCCTACGGATTATCTCAGTCGTGCGTCCGGAGGATACTGCGGGGAACCGGTACTCACAAGGGACTCACAAGACCGGTACGGTGACCGCACCTCTTGTTCCGAAAGCAAGCCGGCACATCGCGCGACCAAGTCATCTCACATTTTCCTCGGAATTCCGAACTCGGAAGATACCTGTTGAAGATACGTATCGATCAACCACCCCAAGGGTAACTTGCAACACCACGAGAGCACCTTCCAGTCGGTTTCGAAGGATTCCAAGGATATCAGTGTGTCAAGCAGCCTCTGTTTAGCCATTGACTAGCAGTGCAAGACCTCAAGTCTACATTTGGATTTTTTCGTGGCAGTTCTTGTTCAACACCTCTACACACTCAGCCAGCACAACAGCGGTCATCATGGGTACCAGTAAAAGCAAGAGGAGGAAGAAGCAGCAGCAGCAGCGCCAACAGCAGCAGCTGCAGCAACAGCAACAGCAACAGACACCACCACAGGATGTGGCAACACCGTCGGCAACCAATACACCACTGGTGCCACCACCACCACCACCGGCAACACCACCAGGTAGCACTGAACCACCATCCACTCCTGTCAAGTCACCAGTGGATCCACCCTCAGTCCACCGGCTACCTGTGGTTCCCCCACCATCTTACCAACTCAGTGGATCATCTGTTACATCCTCCAACCTTGCCAAGCATGATACCACCATGATTAGCCAACAGCTAGCACAACTGGTGGAGGCATTGCACCAACAGAAGGAGGAGACCATGGAGCGCCAGGCTGCTTTTGAGGCCAGGCTATCCCAACAACAACAGGACATCAACCAGTCTAGTGTCTCCATCCATGGCTTGGTCCACACCTTGATGGACCAAACCAACAAGCAACTTGGCCTCATGGGTATTGGAGGGATCAGTCCTATTCCTTCCAATGCATCCTCTTCATTGGATCACCATCCTAATGGTTTACTGCCCATGCGACAAGGTGTGGAAGGGACCACTGGTTCTATAGCACAGTCTCAAGGCAGTTCAGAACCAATTGGTTTGGGTTCAGGATTGATGAGTGATGTTGAGGACCATCTTGGTCCATCCCCTCAGCCCCAAGTGGATATAGATGTTGCCATCCCACCTTGTGGAGATGAAGTCATTGACCATTTGAGGGCCCTCAAGGAGGAGGATAAGACTACAAAGACTACTTCAACCCAACCAACACCAACACATGGCAGCAGTATACCTTCAACATTCTCCCTGCCTTACACCCCTGTACCACCGGTGTCATCCAACCACGCCCCAACTCACCCTGTTCAACCTGTTAGCAGCACAGCCATCTTCCAATACCCCAAACGGTACCACAGATCTGGAGACGACAACCGGTTCTACAGACAGCCAGATCTCATCTTTCCAGAGGCATTGCCCCACAGGCAGGAAACACACTACTCAGGAAGATGGATCATCAACCCTGACATGCGGAAGGTATGGGTCCGCTATGATAGGGCATTGAGTGCTGATGAACTCCCTGTCAATGTGCCAACCAACCCTGCACATTGGGTCAACAGAAGGTATCCTGACGGTTTATTCTTCACTGACCAAGGGGAGTGGATCATCTCTGATGTAAGGGATAGGTTCTTCAACCATGATCAGCCACCCACCCACACACCAGTCACCACAGGCCTCACTCCCACCACAGCCTACACCTCACCTGGATACCAGACCGTGCCCATGGAGGAGCCATCCAAGCAGGTAGACAGTGATATCGTAAGGCCCAGGTCCAAACCATCTCTCTTCTCCAATCTAGAAGGGACATCTCCCATGGACAAGGTAACTCAAGGCAGGATTCCCGACAGATTTGGCGATCCTGGAGACCCTGGTGGCTCCGGGTACCATGGTGGTGGTGGCAACCACAGAGGCTTTAGCAGAAAGGGCAGGTATGGTGGTTCCACAGGAGGAGGACCCCCTGGAGACCCTTGGGATCCCGATGGCGGTGGTGACCCTCCAGCTGGCCCTGGGGGAGGTGGAGGAGGAGACGGTCCCAGACGCAAGTTGTTCCATGCTAAACCAGATGCCAATGCGTACCCCACCCTCAAGTCCAACAAGGACTTCGACCAATGGTACAGCGTGTTTATAACAACGGCTAGGGCACAGGGATTCTATGCTCTCTTTGACTCCAATTATGTGCCATTGGATCAGGAGTCCGCTTCTGAGCTCCGTAGGATGAACGAATGGTTCTATGCGGTTCTGCAGAAAATCATCAAGACAACCAAGGGCAAGGTGATAGTCAAGGAACATTTTCATGATTGTGACTGCTTTCATATCCTACATGCATTGATCCAGGATGCCCACACCTCTGTGGAGGGTACACTGGAGTCTGTGGAGACCCTCAACTGGCTCACCAGGGTTAAGTACTCCACAACCAAGGGTTCTGCAGTGGAATTCATCATCCACTATGATGAGGTTCTCACGCGGTACAATGACTCCAAGACCAACGCGCAGGATAAACTCAGTGATAGTATCCAGAAACTGTTCCTGCAGCAGGCTTTCATCGACATCAAGGTCCTCAATGACATCAGCGCCAGAGAACAGGAGAACATGTGCAGTAACGGTGCCCACATGTCCTATTCATATGAGAAATACAAGGAGGTCCTGACCAACGCTGCTACCAGATTTGATGTCAACCACAAGCTTCTACCCCCTGGTAGATCTCGCAGAGCCAACATGACTATGATCGAAGAGTCTGAGGGTGAAGTCGAGCAACCTGATGGCATGGATAGCCCAACAGATGACCCCACTCATCTCCAAGCGTTTGCGGCCATGAGGGACCCCTCTGTCCGGCTCCCAGACCAACATTGGACCCAACTTTCCAATACGGGCAAGAAGAATTGGCATCAATTTGATGACCACGACAAGAAAGTACTGATGGCATCCCAGCCGCCAGCACCCGCCGGTCGCCAAGCCAACGTTGCCAACAGCACAATGGAACCCCACAGTGAAGCTGACCTTGCAGTCGGGGACACACCAGGGCTATCATTGGACGTAAACCAGGCAGATACGACACCTTCAGTTGGCAAACCTGCGGCTTCCCCATCACATTCGGCACCCCAGGCGAAGGCAAATGACAAACACCCTGGGGATGTCCGTCGAATGATGTCAAACAACACAGGCAAACGGCAGGGTTACACCGTCTCGTTCAGCCCTGATACTGGTTCTGCCTCACCATCTGCCTTTGCCAAGGCCACGGGTGATGACATCGACACCAAGTTACAGGCCTACTGGTCCTCTAGTCGGATGCATGTACGTCGGCCTGAACCTGAGCCGGAGCCGGATTTTTGAAGGGGCGATCTGTCAACCAAAGAGCAGTCTTGTTACACCGATAGAAGAGAGGTGGATCAAGACAAACAAAACAATGGGCTCTGCGACTCAAGGTTGGTGATCCTCGTGGAAGAGCACTGGCTGGATGAATCAGATTGGGGACTCTCGTCTGTCCGTCATCCGTCTTGGCCAGAAGGTCCAGCCCCAGGAAACCAGGCACCACCCATGCTCGCGGGGTAGCATGCCACCTATCTTCGGAGGGGCTACCTTCCGCGGCAATTGGCAAGGAACGACCGGTTACTGTGCTGGACCGGTCGTCTCCAGGGCATTCCAGCACACCTGATTCTGTGATCTACACTGTTTCCAAACATTCCTGGTCCACGCTCATGTGGCGAGCCCTCATGGACCGAGGAGCCAACGGCTGCATCCTTGGCAAGGATGTCAGGGTTATTCACCATTACGGTCAATTTATTGATCTCAGTGGCATTGATGACCATACAGTTCAGAACCTCCAGCTTGCCACGGCAGCTGCTTACATCCTCACAGACCATGGTCCCATCATTGGTCTGATACACCAGGGTGCTGCCATGTCCCATGGGAAAACCATTCTCTCCCCAGGTCAGTTGGAGCATTTCGGGTGCCGTGTCCATGACAAGGCCCTGACTGTCACCGGGCTCGACCCCTACTTTGTGACCCCCAATGGTTTCAGGGTGCCCATGGCCATCCAGTCTGGGCTACCCTATGTCCAACTGCGGCCACCTACCGACCAGGAGCTCAGTGACAGTAGTATCCCCCATGTGGACCTCACCAGTCCTCATGCCTGGGATCCCTCCTGTCTTGACTCTGTCCCTGCGGATGACTGGTTCCTTCAGCAGGACAACACCCTCTACGATGATGGGGAGTTCCCACTGGACCCTCTTGGGCGACTTCGAGTGTTTGATGACGACTTCGTTGACCACTCTGACCGCCAGAACCAGTCCATTGATCGTCGTGGCATTATGGAAGCCATGGCACACATCATCTCAGACGAGATTGACCTTCCCCCCCTCATGGAACGAGCATCCCACGGTTATGACTCCGACTCTTCGGATGACAGTGACGGTTATGCTTCTGATCCTGATACTCCATGGCAATGCCATGTACAAACCCGGGCCCAACGCCGGCGCCGGCGCTACCCCCCTCCCACCCCTTTGGCAGCCCCTTTGTTATCAGGTGCTGGGGAGGATTGTTCAGGACCACCTTCAACACAAGCTAAGCCAAAGGTTGAGACTGTATCAGATGACGAGGACACGGAACCACTTCGGTCCAACAACAAGGCCAAACACCACACCGGTCTTGAGTTCCCACCCAAGTCCAAGAAGATCAAGACTCAGAGCACAGCCAAACTCAGGAGGTTCTTCCCAGGAGTTACCGATGAGACTATCAAGCGAACTCTCGATGCTACCACTCAGTATGGAACCAAGGGAAGGACACTTAGAGGTCAGATCGTGTCTCCCAACCCCATCCTGAATATCCCAAGACGACACGAAGACGTAGCCACGGATACAATCTATAGCAGCACGCCAGCTATTGATGATGGATCCACTGCAGCCCAACTTTTCATTGGCAGGACCTCCCACTACAGGACACTTCGCCCCGCTGGAAGCTCTGATGCCAGTTATATCAGGAATCTGATGGATGAGATCAGGAAGCTTGGTGCCATGAACAGGATACGGTCCGACAATGCTAAGGCCCAGTGCAATCAGAGGGTCAAGGATATCTACAGGACCTTTTGCATCGATGACTGGCACTCTGAGGCCTACAAGGGCAACCAAAACTTTGCTGAGTTGGGCTGGAGGGATACGAAAGCAAAGATCCAAACGGTACTGGACACCCGGGATGTCCCCTCTGAGTGCTGGCTCTTGTGTGGACAGTTCATATCACCCTACAGAACCACATCGCCTGGAATGCCTTGGTTGGCGACACCTTTTGAGTGCTGTTCGGTTTCACACCGGATATCTCAGCCCTTATCAGTTTGAGTTCTACGAACCTGTATATTACCAGAAGTACGGTGGTTCATTTCCAAAGATTCTGTTGAGGCGGGGGTCGGTTTGTCGGTGTACGGAGGACGTGGTCATGGGATGACTTACAAGATATTGACGGAGTCAGGCAAGGTCATATGCAGGGCGGTGGCCAGGACGGCAAGGAAGGGAGCTGAACTCAGCAACTGGAAGGCGATGGACTAGCCCCGAAACTGGCCCCAAGCCAAAGCCAATCTCAGGAGAAGGCCTCCACAAGCGAAGCTGACCTTGAGTCGGGGCCGCTCGGAGACTGAAGTGTTGAGAAAGGCATCGAGATAGAGGAGACGGAGGAGAATGGGAGTTTCACAACTCCATACGCAAGGATATCCTATCCAACCTTGAACACAAGGATGTCCTAGAGGGTGGCAACCTGCCATCATTGACATCACCAACCTTCTTAACGGACCTTTATCACCCACCCAACGAGGAAGGCGAGCAGCATAGAGCCAAGATGTTGTGTTTCTGCCGAGGCCACAGGAGAAACCAACGCAGACGGATCAGCAGCTGTATACAGGTTCAAGTGTAAACATGGGGACGATACTTTGAGGAAGTTTTGGCATACTCAAAATGCTGGAAAGGTGTGAAAGGGACCTGGACAAGGAAGACATGTACCGGATCGAGGCTGCATCCGACATCGTCCCTCCCGAACTAAGTCCAAGTACGAGGTGCTGATTTGATGGGCCAGTGGGGAGACTTCTTGGGAGGGTATGGGGAGCATTTCAATGATGACCCTGTGTCAATTTCCATCTACGCATCAAAAAATGGCCTGCTCAAGGTCGATGGATGGAAGCGATGCAACCCTACACCAAAAACTCCAAGGTGTTCGCACGTATGGTACATCAAGCAAAGTTGAAAAGCTTCCGCACCCAGCCCATTTATCAATATGGTTACCAGGTCCAAGAAACCACGCTGAAGCTGTTTTCATTGAGAGAAAATGGAACAGTAAGTGGCAGGATGCAGAGAGCTGGAGATTGCCCAATTGATGGAATACGACACCTTCGATCACTGGGAAAGGGTACCCCAGTCCCAACAGGCTACCAGAAGATCCATGTCATATGGTCTATGCCGTCAAACACGACGGGCGGCACAGGCAAGGTTTGTGGCAGGAGGCCACAGGACAGAGACACCAGTAGACCCAACCTACTCAGGTTTTGTGTCCTTGCAGGGCATCCGTCTTGGTTAGTTTCTTGGCTGAGTTGAATGGGTTGAACTCTGGGCAACGGACATGGCAAGCATACCTGGAAACTACACGACTGAAAGGTGTGTTTTATTGCTGGTGGGGAGTTTGGAGACATGGCTGGGCATACGATGAAGATGATCAAGGCCCAATATGGCCTCAAGTCATCAGGCAAATGTTGGCATGATAGACTGTATGATGTGCTTCACGGATTTGGCTTCAAGCCCTCTAAGGCTGAGCCAGATATCTGGATGCGTGATTGTGGCGACCACTATGAGTACATCGGTTGCTATGTTGACGACCTATTGATAGCTTCCAAGCAACCTCAAGTCATCATCGATCTACTGCAGGCTCCACCACACAAGTTCAAACTCAAAGGAACTGGACCTGTACCTTCCATCTGGGATGTGACTTTGAAAGGGATGCGACGGAATCCTGTCCATGACACCAAAAAAGTACATTGAACGTGTAAGGCCCAATAGTATCCTTGTTTGGGGGAACCATCCACTAAGGTAACCAGTCCAGTGGAAGAACGACCACCCAGAGCTGATACCTCTCCTCTCCTGGATGATGATGGGATCTCAAAATACCAGTCCCTGATTGGAGCATTGCAATGGGCAATTTCACTTTGGAGATTTGATATTGCAGTCTCTGTAATGTCAATGTCGTCCTTCAGGGTGCACCCAGAGTGGGGCACCTGGAAAGACTAAGAGGATCACTGGATTCTTGTCAAGATGAACCAGGCAGGAACAGGATCCGCACCAACGAGCCAGACTACTCTCAACTGGATACCGAACCTACGACTGGACAAGGACGGCTATGGGGAGGACAGGAGGAACTCCCAGTAATGCCCCACAGCCAAAGGGCAAGCCGGTAGTATTGAGACCTATGTGGATGCAAACCTATACCACGATTGGTCAATGGCAAGGCAGTCACTGGTGTATGCACTATGTGAACCAGACCCCATTCGAATGGTACTGCAAGAAGCAAGCTACTGTGGAACAGCCACATACGGCTCTGAGTTCTTGCTGCTAGGGTTGCCACCCAACAGGCCATTCAGCCAGAGTTACACTCAGGTATCTTTGTGTGGAGGTAAAGGGGCCAAAATACATGTTTGGCGACAAGGGTCTGTGGTGACAAGTTCCACCCAGCCCCATTCGCCCCTCAAGAAGAGACATCACGCCCTCTCCTACACTTCGTCAGAGAAGCCATTGCCGCAGGGACCATCTCGTTTCATCATCTACCGGGAGCAATCAACCCCGCAGACATCCTGACGAAACACTGGGGTTACTCCCAGATATGCCCATTCTGAAGGCAGTTCTGTTCTGGAAGGAGACACAGCTGATCTCCTGGACACCACCATGGACACATCACATGGTGGGGAGCGATGAGTGGAAATCCACGTGAACTCCCATTGTGGTGCGAAGCAGCTGTGCTGGTTTAGCCAGGTGAAGAATCGCTGGTGACATCTATACTCCAACAGTAGGGTCAGCAGTGCAGCCATCTGGCAATACAGAAATAGCTGAGGAACTCTATATACCCAAGGATGATGCAGTTCTTCAGCCAAGACCAATATAGAAAGCTAGCTTGCCAGCACCAGCCAAATGAGATGCAAGAGAGCCAAAGCTGCATGGCTGAGTGCTGTCGAGGATTTTGTGTTCAGTTGATTTTAGCATAGTTTAAAAGAAGAAGAAGTAATGAAAGGATAGTTGACCAGATACAGCCTCAGTAGCACTAGTCTCCCCACAGTTGAAGCCTTCCTGTGTGGATTGTGCCAAGGCAAAGAGTGAGTTGTTCAATCATTGCTGTGGAGATTGAGTAACAGCGGCAGCCAGCTTTGTGGCTGGCCCATTCCCATTGTCAGAGGAGTGAGGCTCCAAGCAGAGCTCTCCACTCCCAGCCAACTCTTTGTGCATCTACCCTGACTGGATCTCATCGAACAGGAGCCATGGGTTCGAAACAATGGTCTACAGTTGTACAGCAAGCGAGAAGATATCCAAAACCACCAGCAATATGATAGGGAGAGAACCGATGGATTCTTTCGGTTTCTTTCGGCTGATCTTCATGTTGGCAAATCGGTTCTTATAAAAGCTAAGACGTTTGTGAATACACATCTTAAGTGTGAACACTACTCCCGCCAAAAGGAAGTCAATCAATATGCCGAGTTGGTCCAAATCAAGGTTGGAGAGTCGCTGTCTATACAGAAAAGTGTGTCTACGGTCACATCCCGTGCAGCAGCTCAATCACTTGACGCATGTGAAGATATCCAAGCCGGGCTTCAGCAGCTCCTGACTCCGGAACAAACTAGAGAGATGGCATTATCTGTATTTCGAGCCAAGTCCAATGGAGCAGTGGCCAAGCTACACCCATTCTACCGGCTTCAGTTTGCCTCTCAATATTGGTCGATGAGTGCCACAACCAGAAGAGGAGAGGAATTCCGCGACCAACGTCTAATACAGCGCAATCATACAACCCTTGACGAGATCGGATTTCGTGGAATGAGGGCTTGCCAAATTGTCACAAATAAGGCAAAGCACAACAAAGATGGCCGCCTGGAGTACACCTACATTATCCCCAACATGGATTCGCTCAAGGATGCAGGTGCATGGTCAGGCGCCTTGTTTCTGTGGAGGCTCAAGGTGGACAATGAAGTATTCCCGGATTTCACCGGCGAGGACTACAAGGCCATCTTCGGTGTTTGGACATATCCATGTTTAGACGACCGTTCGTGTGAGACCTTTTCCCATGGCAAGGGGTTCAATCTCACCATTTTGGACCGTTTTTTGCACTTTTTTTTTACTTTTTTTGGAGTTTGCCTTGAGTACCGGGTTGGATATAAGAGCTAAAAAAGCACTTAATGCCTAGTACAAGGGGCCCATTTGGTGCTGCTGCTGCTGTTGTTGGTGTTCGCGCAATTCCAACATCCACCATGATACTAAGCTGAACTTTGGATCAATATTGTCGACCCTCTACAAAGTAAATAGTAGAGATAGAATACATAAAAATGGACTAGTTTTAGACTCCTAAAGATGCCCTTGGTGGGTGGCCAAATTGACTCTGGATGGGGTACTTTGTGAAGTCCATTTTCAATACGCCGCCCTAGCGGACAGCTGAAACCGAAGTCGGTGTCTATACCTGCGCCGACTTTGTCGGTTTCAGCTGTCCGCTAGGGCATAACAAAGGGATACACATCGATCTGAGTCCTACCCTCACAGGAACCCTCATTGTCGAGTAGCTTCAAAACCACAATTTTCACAACCTGGCTGTCATCGTGATACACCAATCGGTTCATCCCGTCCAATACAAACTTCAGCAGATTATCAATGTCAGGAACAATCGGTCTCACAAAGGGAACCGAATTCTTCAGAATGCCCATCAATCTCCTGCTGGCTCGAAAGTCACTGTTCGGACGCCTCATCCAAAAGTGCACCTCCACTGTCACTGGCGTACCGGTAGGAAACACGGCTCCATGTTGAGTGGCAGGAACCAGTTCTTGTACAGTCTTTCTGAATGCAGCCTTCTCCTTGCTTCCAGGATGTAAAGACCCCACCTGCCCATTCTCATCCTCTTCTCAGGGAGTGGCTTGCCAGGAACCTCAAAGGACACCCTCATGGGCGGCGAATCTTCTCTCCCACCAAGTCAATTACTTCTGTCATAGCTGCTACCACATTGTGGCTGCAGAGACCATCACATGATTCGCGCATGTAAACAGCAGCAGTACCCTGCAGTGAGTCTTCTTGTGCGGCGAGACATGTATGTCATGTGTTTGGTATAACTTTGCTTGTCTATGTACATGTTATCCATCAGGCTTTGGGTAACTTGGCCAGCTGCGAATTGTGTGCAGCTGTGGTGAGGGAAAGTTAGCCAAGGCCTTTCTCCAGGAACAAAAGAAGGATTCGCAAGATCACAATAGCATGTTCTTCACTGACACATGCTGTTCTTTGATGATCTCTTGGGAATACGCGACTGTGTATTTAGGGGGGTGGTGAGCAAGCATGGACTGGCTATGCTGGCAGCATAAGTCAAGGGGGCATGGGCTGCCTGGCTGATTCGCATGCACCACTGGCTTTGCATAAGGATGGAGCAACCAAAAACACCAAAAGTGATACCAACTGGGCCTAGAACCTCATTCTTCGTTCCACCATGACATGCGCGCGCACCCGAGCTGAGCATACAACACTTGAGTAAGGTGAAATTAGCGTTGGGGCCATGTCCAAAACGGTGCGAAAGCAAGTGCCAAGCGACAGCTCCAGCACTGGAGGCACTCGGCACCGGTAGCAACCTGTACCGGTACTGTATGGCTATGCGAGGGGAAGATCAAGATGAATTTTCATGAAAAATTTATGACTATTGCTAGTTTGATGGCTGGCCAGCTAGCTAGCTACCCGGTACAAAGAGTGCCCAACGAACCAGCGTACTGGTACTGCGGCAAAATGTCAGCAAACTATCTTTGCATGTTCTTGCATGGCATGCTTTGAGACGGGCAATTACAATTTGTCGCGAAGTGGAATGCAATAATTCTAGTATGGTATCAAGAATCAGAACTGGTGTCTTCAAAGTAACCTACAGCTATGCTGCCGGCGCAGCTGGCAGCACAAATGCATCCAACTGCAAAGAAGGGCCCAGGCTCTGCAGCAGGAACTGATAGTCCTCATCAACATCCTCTTCCAGGGGCACATTTGTGGTAGAGCACAAAAGGTCTCCAGCCCAGTCAAGGCACGTATTCAACCCTTCTGAACAGAGTTGCAGGGACTCAAGACGGGCCAAGTTATTGATGGTAGCCAGTAGGACCAGCTTCATGTTTGCCAATACAGCAACACTTCTGGCATGGTCTGTGGACACAGCAGCCTCCAGAGCTGCCTGATAAAAGAAAATGGCCCGTTCCATGCATTTGTATGTGGCTCCCACTGGACCTGATTTGGCTTGAAGATCATATGCAAGCCCCAGATTGTAGAGCAGCACTATCAAACATGAACGGCACTCCAACGCATTCATAGACCCTTGTGTCTTGCATATTCGAAACACCTTGGGGAACAGAAGGAAAAGTCCACATTCTTCCTTGAGCCATGTTTTGTGTGCAATTGAAAGGCTCTGGATCGAGAATCCTCCATGATCAGTCCATTCACCCAACAAATCTTGTTCTTGGTCTTTTTTATTCTGTATCTCAGAGGATTGTCGAGTTTGATCAATCTGTCTCTTCAAGCTCATCAGAGCTGCCTTGAACTCGGATATGGCAGAGGAAGCATTGCCCCTTTGCAAGAATTGGATGCCATTGGCAATAGAATCAAGCAGATGTAGGCTGCTAGAGTTGAACTCCTTCATCATTGGCAGTGTCTTGTCGGTCCGCTGAGGTTGGTTTATGTGACGGTTTTCGCTTGAGTTTGTGCTGGTGTTTGCTGGGGAAGTGGAAGAAGCCAAGGGGGAAAAGTGCAGCGGGGCTAGATGGGGATCCCATGAATTCCGTCCAGCAGCGTCTCATTTGTTTCCTTGTTGACCTAACAATGCTGGCCTCTGAAGTCTGCCATGGCGCACAGTAAAATCTGTTCAACTGTTGGGTTCAAGAAGCTGTTCGGGGGCATCTTATTTGGTTCGGACACTTTCAAAGTTCCACGAAGAGAAAGGCTTACTCAGAGTACAAGGTGCATACGTTCTCTATTTGAGTTAAGTCCCAAAGTACCAGCAAGTTCTCAGAGTTTAACCAGCATTACTCCCACAATCAGAATTATTGCAAGACTTGCTTCTAATTCTTTCAAAATCAATGCTGCCCACTCCAAGAACCTCTCTCTGCCCATCACCTCCTGCGATAGCCAGCTAGCTAGCTAGTATAGCTACTAGCTAGCTAGAAGTAGTAGCTAGTGAAACCTCACACCTCTGAACCTCCCGGCAATCTAGCCTTGGCACGCCAAGAGGGAAGACTAGTGAGTATGGAGCCATAATCGGGAATGGAACTTGAGACGTCTTTTTAACCATAGCCAGCAAGAGATAAAGCAAGAGATAAAGCTATAGCGCTGTAAGTCGCCTCTGAAACAATTCACAGTACAAGCAGCCAGAATTCCCGTACAATACATACCAGTACTAAAAGGCTCAAATATATCTCAAGATACATACTAGGACGTACTGATACTTCAGGAAGTTCTCCCGGAATTGCTTCATCCAAAATGGGTCCGAACATATATATATCCACGACACCGAGAAACATTGAATCATTGGGAGGAGGTTCCAACGGAGGCCGTCCGGATTCGTTATCTGGGTTTCGATTGTCCTGCAAAAAGCTCCTCACCGTCGCCCCGGATTAGTTAATTGTCAAACCAAAACAGAAAGAACGGTTCAGCTCCAAACACGTTCCTGGCGGCGGCCTTGTCATTGTTGTGCTCATACGAGTTCACTTTCACTTTTGTAGCAGCACTGATTGAATGATTCTCTTGAGCCCTCGAAGTAGATACTCTGAGGCTCTCAAGATGAGAAAAATTTGCACCTTTCCTGCACTAGTCTAACTCCAAGAAAAATCTGCACCTCTAAGCACCTCGGGGGGGGGGCAAAAGAATGATTGAATGATTTGATTCAATCTGCACGTCTACGTACTCTAGAGGGTGTGCACCTCGGGGGCACAACTTCCATGGGCACAATTCCAGATTGGGGCAGCACTGAATAGACTGAGGCAACCAGTAATGAGCGGCCCTGTCCCAAACATGTTTAGATTTCAGATTTTAACGAACAAATAATAGGCAATTTGAGCGTTACTGAGATCCTCTACAACGCAAATGACACATTTGGCCGCATTGCTTGGAAGATTCAGCACTTGCTCTAGTAGCTAGCAGGCCGTCGGATGGTTTTATTAGCTCTGGCTAGCTAGTCCCCCCAACACCGTATCCTGGTGGTACTAGTAGGTAGGTACGAGCTCACTATCCGGTACGGTAACTGGTATTGACAAGAGCAGACCTGCAGACTTAGCCTTAGGGTTAGGCCTTTTTGACAAATGCCAAGAAACGCAACGCACACGGCCATGATAGTTAGACTACAAGCGCAAGCGGGTATCATCATTGTAACTCCCCCTTCAGTATTCTGGCCAATCCTATATTATAGATACACTGCAAATGCCATGGCTCAAGAAGCATTCCATGACGAGGAAGAGGATCCCATAACAGTAGAGGAGGAAGAGGGTAAACTCAAAGCAGAAGAATTGGTCCCCTTGTCTGCCAATGGATCTGCATCCAACGGTACCACCCCACGGTCGGTAATCCCGTTGGAAATTGAAGGGTGCACTGATGCCGGTAGTGAAGCAAGGGTATCGTTGTCCAAATGTGCCAAAGTTGCTCTATTCTCAGTTGGAGTAATCTCTTTGGCAGTTCCTCTTGCCGTTGCACTATTGTATTATCGAAATTCGGAACAAGAGGTGCCATTGGCCATTAATGCTCCATCCCAACAAGATGCCATTGCTTCCGCTGAGAGGCTCCCTGAGGTTGTGAAAGGTGCTAAAGAAGAGGATGTTGTAGGCTGGGTTCCCAATCCACACGACTTTGCCCTTTGTCGAGCCAACAACACAGTCCTAGCTCGAGAGACGTCTACCGAGTATGTGTCGGAGGATGCTCAAGCGCAGGTGATGCACCAACTGCCAACTCCGTGGCAACGAGCATGGTCGTTGCGTCCACAAGATTTTGAGCCCAAACACGGTGGCCAGAACTGCTCTTCTGTAGACGAACTACTACAAGCCATTCAATTGGGACATCGGACCTTTGACGACGAGCATGATGACATGCTCTATTACTACGACAATGCTACCCTGGATACATGGATCAAACGAGAAAAAACGGCATCCACATTTGTTCCGTACGGCTGCGATATCCCAGTCTTGTCCAGTGAGGAGATTTGTGAGATTCTGAATATGTTCAACTCCATCATTGTCATTGGTGATTCGTTGGTCAGACATGTCCAAGCTGGATTGTTGGTGGGACTTACCAACAACTTTGTCTCCGGATCCTTATTGGGATCCGACAGTCAGGATGCCCTCGAAAACTGTCGATGCGATGGTTTGCTCAGTGAACATATTCTGTGTCGGACACATTTGGGGAGCAATTTCTCCGAACTGCAGCCTTTTCAGGCATGTCCCAACCTACGCACATCGGATCGAGTGGCTCGACGATCCATCTTCCAAGAACGATTTACCTGGATCTCCAATCACCATACTCTTGCCACTCACATGGACTCTGCTTGGTTTGATCACTGCTGGGAAGTCGACCAAAATGGAGATCCTGTCCCTTTTCTCTCCGATGGCAAGCAGAACAAAGGAATGCTCCTGTTATTCGAGGGAGGCTTGCACCATCACCTGGATCCACAGTCGTTCATCAAACAAATTCTGGCTCAGTTCTTCAACGAGCAACACGTTCGGCTCTGTTCCGAGGCTCACAAGTTGTACGTCATTTGGCAGCGGATCGGGTCCCAGTCTCCCCTCTACGACAGCTTATTCCCGTTCCAAGCACAAGACCGTGCCAAATATTTCAATGACGAGGTGGACGAGTGGATTTATCATGTCTCCAACCATACAATCATTCAAATGGATACAGTCAACATGACCCGAGGAGCGCAAAAGAGCGACGGAGCTCACTTTTTGCTAAACGTCAACTTTTTCAAAGCACAATATCTGCTCCAGATTGCCAAGAAAATGAAGGAGGAAGATCGATTTGTGATCCTGAATTGATAGAGGGCTGGCTATACAACGAACAGCCACTTTGCTGAGAGAACTTTTCTGGCTGACTGGGGCCAATCTGCTTATGTCACTACCGCACCATCAACTGTAAAAGTTCTCTGATGGTTGTAGCTGAGTGTTAGGCAAAGAAGATATGGAATTCGGGACTTGGTTCCATGGGATCAGGGGCGACCAACTCTGGGCCAACATGGGGGCCAAAGGGCTTGACTTTGGATCCACGGAGACGTAAGTGAGTGGCTTTGGCAAGGGCAATCAATCCTCTGAGTAATTACTTGGCAAGGTAAACCCCAGTGTCGTCACAACAACTGGTTTAGCAATCGGCCGCACACTCCTAAGGGAAGTTCTGGCTTCCATAGGTAGCTTCCCGACTCTACCCCCTTTCCTGTGGATTGAAAGCTAAGGGCGTTTGTAGCTACTGTATACTTCACCCTCGCGCAACTGCGACCATTGCATGTTGCTGTACCCGTACCATACGAACGATGGGACAGCGCCTCTCAAACAACAATTCGTCAACCAATCACGGACAAAGCTACAGCACTAAACGTGGCAACATTGAAATAGCTACTATAGTATTATTATATTTGTGAACAAACAAGATCCATCACAGTTCTGCAACTACAAGATCTTCCGGCGTCAGGTCACTGTCAAAGGAGTGCAGCTTGTCAAACGAAAAGCCATGCATTGAGGAAGAGGAAGAACCTCCAATAACCCTTTGATCCGAAAAGAGAGCCGTCGTAGGCGGCCGCGCCTGCTGTCGCTCGTACTCCAACAAGTAGTTGGCAATGGTAGCCTTGAGATTCTTGTATTGATCGTACAAATGCCGAATCACTTCTTTTTCTGCCTTGTTGGGCATTCGACCATGCGTCTGCGCAAACTGGATATCGTATTGTTTCAGTTGTTTCTTGAGCGACTCGAGCGGGGAAATGTAATCCTTGAGCGTATTGTAGTGATTGTACAAGGGTCGAATGACTTCCTTTTCCGTCTTGTTGGGCATACGACCATGAGATTGTGCAAATTGAATGTCAAACTGCTTGAGTTGCTCTTTGAGATCCTTTTTCATTTCCTGCAGCTCCGACAAGGACGGACCTTTACCACTGCTGCTCAAATTGGCATTGCTTTGCGTCGCCTGAATGACATCCCACGAGGTACTGCGAGTGGCTGCCACCGAGAGTAGTGCTGGTTGTTGTTGAGTAGGTGGTTTCTTGTCGGCCAACAAGTCTCGTGCAATACTGTTAATGCTTCGAATGGCCCCCCCACTTCCGGTCCTCTTGTGAGCACTGGTAGGGATGTTGATTGGTTTTGCCGTGGGCGACGCCATGCTGTGAGCGGACGATCCATCCAGCGTCCGCATCCTTCGGTGCTTACCAGTATTATTATTGGTTGCAGCAGCAGCCGCCGGTGGCGATGCATTCTCCTTGCTATTATGAATACCTTTACCACTACCACCGACGAAACAATCTGGAATGATGGAGCCGTGGCTATTCAGCCGTCGATGGCCACTGTTGGTGCCGGACGGTGATGACGTACCACCCGCACTGCGCATTCGCCGGTGCGATGGCGTACTCTTGACAGGAGCAGCAGCATCATGACTGCTGTTGAGGATGCTATTGTCGTGCAAGACATTAAAGACCGACGCCGTTTTGCGCATGGGACTCTTGGCAGCAGCGTCTCGTGTTGGTAACGAAAAGGGCGGGACATAAGTATTCGTAGTAGTTCGTCGCGGCAACAGACTGGCTCGAACGGGACTCTTGCTGACTTCCTTTTTGGGCATTCGCCGTGGCAATCCAGCACCTCGCATGGGACTCTTGTTGTTGTTGGGAATGGTCGGAAGCATGGGACCACTACTATTGGTGATATTCTGTCGCGCACTCGTTGAGCGTGGAGGACTCCGGCTACTCAAGCTATTGTTGTTGTTGTTGCTGTCAAACAACGAGACGGGTCCCATGGGTCGCTTTTGATTGTTGTAACTGTGACTACTGCTGGGCGGTCGCGTGGGACTTCGTGGTGGGAAATTGTTGCTTCCACCAGATGGCAATCTCTTGAGAGGACTTCGTGTGGAACCACTCTCCTCCATCGTGCCATTGTTATTGTTCTGCTGCTCCACTTGCTGCTGTAGTGAATCATGACTCTTCATTCTTCGGGGTGGCGTTCCCGTGTTGTTGATATTGCTATTGCTATCATATGGAATGACCTTGACTCCATCGAGTTGTGGTGTGTTGTCCACTTGAACAATGGGAATATTCCCTCCATGACTGGCATTTCGTTTGTGTCTCTGCATCATGGATCGAATGGGAATACTAGCCGTGTCAGCAGTGGGAAATCGTTGGAGTGTGGGACCACCACTCACATTATTGTGAAAGTTATGGTGGTTGTTGTCATGGTGTGTTGCTGCTGCCATGAGCGCATTAGGATTGGGCAGATGGGTGGGACTGTGACTTCCGGTGCGCCGATGATGGGCGGGTGAGGGTTGTGGTTTGACGGGTGTTTTTGCTGTGGTAGCGTTTGCAGTAGTATCAGTTGGAATCAAAAGGGCATCTCCTAAATGCGCTTCGAGTCGTTGACAAATGGTAGCCATGTCGAGTCGATCACTCACTTTATGAGCCCAACTCGCTTTCAATAATTCCTGCAACTCGAGTGACAATCCATAGCACGACAAAGGCGGCCGATCTCCTTGTCCACACACCAATATTTTGTGTACGGTGGGTGACATGTAATGAAAGGGTTTGACATGAGCGACAATTTCCCAAACCACCATGCCCCAGGCATAACAATCACTCTTCAACTGATATTTTCCATCCAACAGCACTTCGTGGGACATGTATCGTTGCGTTCCACAAACCGTCAAGTGCCAGTAGAGATCGTCTTCATCAATGCAATTGGCAGTATTGGCAATGGCAGTGTCACTATTAGTGTTGGAAGATTGCGTATTGTAGTTGGGTTTGGGTGGTTTTCCAGGTACTAATGGTGGTGGTTGTAATGATGACGATGATGATTGTTGTTGTGGAGCATTGACAGCAGTAGCTAGTGTCAATTCTCTTGCCATTCCAAAATCGAATAGAATCAAGTGATGATCGTCCGGTCCTCCTTTGAACCCAATGTTTTCTGATTGAATTCATTCATTCATCAAGAGTTGAGAAGGTAAGGTATTCAAATGGTAGTTCTGTAATCAACAACAACAAGGTGGCAACTTCACGTATCTTACCTGGTTTCAAATCCCGAAATAGTATTCTCTTGGAGTGCAAATACTCGAGTGCTTTCGCTAATTGATGGGCATAGCGTAGTTTGGTGTCCAACAAATGAGACGAACATACACTAGAGTTGTTTTCATTTGTGTTTGTATGATTTGGATTGTCGTCTCTCCAAGTTTGAATTCTGTCATTGAGTGTTTGCGACAATCTGTCTAGGAGCAGAAAGAATTTGGTGTAATGCTTGGCATGATTCATGGGTTGATCCGTATCTTTCGACAATGCGCGCAGTTGGATAATGTTGGGATGTTCCAGTCGAATCAGAATCTCCGCTTCATTCACCAAATCATCGGCTGCCTTTTGAAACAGTTTCTTGTCTTCTAGCAAACCTTTGCGAATCACCTTGACCGAGTATTCTTGGTCATTACTGCCAGTAGAACTACTACTAGCACTAGTAGTACTGCTATCACGCAGTAGAGAAGGACATTGAAACAAGCCAAAGACTTGCGCAAATCCTCCTTCTCCCAATATTGGACCCAACTGCAGTTCATCACGTCGTAGAAAGACCACGGATCCTTCGCCCTCTTTCAGTCGACACGTTCGTGGTTTGCCTTTGGCGTTGTGGCCGCCAGCGGTCGCAGAACCGCCATCTTGATTGTCACCACGAAAGGAGGAACTGCCATTCCATAGTTTCCGCAATGGACCTGTTAACGATAGTGTTCGGCGGACTGGCATCGTAACACACACACCACTCACTAGCTAGACTACCAATCAATCAAGTAGAGCTAGCTAGCTAGAGTAGTCTATGATTCAGACAAGGACAACACACAACCCAAATTTGTTTTTCGCCTTCATTGGAGTCGGTGGGTTGGATTGTACCACCGGTTCCTTGTGGCTTTTTCCTCCTGATCAATCTTGGTTTGAATAATGGATCAAGTCCACAACGGGGGTCACGCATGCGCAAATTTGGCCTTCTCTATTACCAAAGGACGGTTTTGAATGACTAACCGTTGGCCGAAAGAGTGACATGCTCGACGATCTTTGAGGGTCGTCATGCTTGTCAAGGAAGGCGAACGGATAAATCCAAACAAAATAAAATACCACGGAGTTCCGGTGGTCTAGTTGTCTGTTGACTGTAAACCGGTGGAAAGTCACCGGTACTCTACTTCGTATTTATTTTTCTTCTTTGTACTCTCTAGCTAGGCGGTTCTTGTGGTTTTGTGTTGTGGCTGATGTAGCTAAAGTATACCGGTTCCGTGCCAGTTGCATGTGCAGCCCGCCGTACAAAAATCTTCCTTGGGACACAACGGGAGCAAACGAGCAAGCAACCTTCTCCGTGGCAGCTGTTGTGGCTGTGTGTAGTACCGGTACGGTACGGTACCGGTGCCTGCTGAGGTGCGGCCGAACAAAAATCTTCCTTTTGGCCACAAGAATGAGCATTCCTGTGGCTTCCTCGTGACCGGTACCGTACGACAGGAGGGGGGAGTAAGCCCATGCCCCAGCCAGAAACACAGAAGCAAAAAGTACATATCGCGATACTCGTACCGAAACAATTGAGGTGGCCTCGTGCCGTCCTTGCTTGTCTGTCATCAACGCACGCGTCGCAAGAACGAACAGTCTTCGTCTCAACGTGGATCGAGCTTCCTCGAACATGCATTGCTTGGAGCTAGAAAGTGCCAACGGCAACATGTCACTAGTATAGTCTATTACTCGTACCGAAACAAGGTGGCTTCGTGCTGCCATCGTCCGTGTCTGTCACATCAACTCGACGCAACGAACAATCTTGATTTCGCGCGACATTCATCATGCATTGCTTGGAGCCAGAATGTGCCCACAGCAGCTACAGAACCGTTCCAAAACTTAGATCAAGGAGCACGCATGCCGAAGTAGATGTCACGATACCCGACCGGTGCCAGCTGAGGTGCGGCCATGGTATCGGTACCGTACGGCGCGAGGCTGAGGTGCGACTGTGTTGTACTTGTAGGTACTATACCGGTACTGAACGGAGCCATAGAGGACCCATACGGTACAGACACATGGGGTGGAGAGTTTAATGGTTTTGAAACGCGGTAATACGAGGGTGAGCGAGGTGCGACTGCTGTTCAAGCACTTCAAATACTCTGATTGGATGTTGGCTGCTCACGGCAACCTCAAGCAACGTGACAGGATCGTCCAACCACTCGCGGACGACCAAGCTAGCAAAGGGTATGTTCGTCCAGGCTACGGGCGTGCCGAAAGGATATGCACTGTGCATGAGCTGTGCATGTGAGTTCTTGAGCGAAGGCTGCTTTTGGGGTTTTGTAGTCCAATGATGATCTGAATGTGGCTGGCTATTCTTGCACTAACGGCGGTACAAGCATCGAGCGCTCAAGTCTCTGGCTTCCGCATGTCAGAGGGGAATCAGGACCCTACCCCAGCCACAAAAAGAAGATAATACGATAGCAAAAGTGACTGTTGCTTGTACCTAAAAAAAAGATCACGGAAGAGGAAGGGAAAGTAGGTGTCGCGACATACTCATAGCTCGTACCTGTACCGGTGCTACAAGCTCCGTGCCGTCCTCGTCGTCCGTGTCTGTAATCAACGCGTTGCAACCAACAATCTTGATTTGGACACGTGGCTCGAGCTTCCTCGTGCAGTGCTTGGAGCAAAATGTGACAACAGCAACAGTAGGCTATCGTTCCAAAAAGCAGATCATGGAGCATGCATGCCCAAGTAGATTTCACGATGCGGGTTCTACGAACAGTTATTCCTGCGTGCCATCGTCGTTCTTGTTGTCATTGTACATTCCAGTACGGAGTAGCTTCTCAGCCAAAGCAAGGATCGAGGTACTAGTACCACCAGGTGCTTTTGGTTCGAGGCGAACCAAGCCACGACGGGCATTCGTGCAGTCCTTTCTCGCGTAATCGTCGTTATTGTTGTCTGTCGTTGTACATACATTGCTTTTCAGCCAAAACAAGGATCAAGATAGCACCGGCTGTTTTTGGTTTGAGGTGAACCGAGCCACGACGGACACTCGTGCAGTGCTTTCTCGAGCATCGTGGGTCTATTGCTTTGCTAGTCCAGCCAATACATGTAACAAATTCTTGCACTGAAACATCCAAATCCAAGCTACTGTTTTCTTCATGTACCAATACAAACCTACAAACTATAGGAGCTGCCACTAGTACAGCTGCTAGCCAACCAGCCAGCAAACACATGCACGAGTACAACCAACTCAAGCAAAGTGTTCATTGTAGGGACCCTTCAATAGTTGTCGAATCATATCCGTCTGAACATCCAGAGCCATTTGCATTGCATTCATTTTGGCGTTCATTGTACTCTCGACTCTGTCAAGTTTGGCCTCTAGGGCTTGCTGTTTTGCAACCATCTCTGGATGACTGATATCGCAGCCGCCGTCCACAGGTTCGTTTTGCTGCCCACTACCGTTCTCGCTGTCACCAGCATTGTTGTCCGAGGCGCCTTCTTCTTTGACATCTCGGACCACATAAGTATTGACTGGTGGTGGAAGCCCAATGACTGGTCCATGTGTCCTGCTTGTAACTTTCTCATACACCTTGCCTTCTGAGTGGAAGCATTTCAGCTTCTCGGCATAGGCGGCAATCAGACTCACCAAAAGAGCAACAGCCATGCCTCCATAATGAAAAATGAAGGTCCCAGCCATTTGCTGAAGTGTCAGGGTATCCGCATCAATACCATCCTCGGTTGATGATGATGCCCTGCCACCACCCTTCAGTCTCCTATGCACAGGACGGGTGCTGTGCGACACCGCCTGTTGGGTCATGTGGAGCAAGCGCCGCCTGTCTGATTCCTCGTCATCTTCATATGAACACATGCCATCATCTACCTTTTCTCTATGTTTTCTCCAGAGCTCCTCCACGACTCCATCTTCAACAAGCTCAACCATATGTAAATTGATTACGTGTCGAACCAAACCGCTGCATTTGTGTCCAACATCAGCCTTCATTGCAAATCCAGCCTTGATGGTCTTGATCTTTTCGCCCACCCATTCCAAATCACAGTCAGGGTTGTACTCCTCATTGACCTGATAAGTAAGCCAAGAATCCAATGATAATACCGCCAAGGCACATTCACCATTTCTCAGTGATGTGAAAGAGGCTTTGTCATCTTTTCTGGGTACCACTTTTGCCTTTGGGAATACTTCTTTGATGAAGAACTCTGCATTGGTATTCTCATAGGTACACACAGGGTAGCCATAAACAACAGCTTCCTCCATAGAATCCACCAGAACAGGTTCTACCCTGGATTCCACAAATAGAGAGGCCAGATTGGCAGTGTACGTCGCAACGATAACAAGTGCCCAAATCGTCATGCTGACCCCATATATTCTTCCCCCTAGACTGTTGGGAGCATATTCAAAGTTTTGGGAGAAATTGATGGCACTGAGATACAGGTTGTCCGAGAACCACTGGTACAGAGATCTGTCTTCTCGTTCTCCGCTGAGGTGCTCAATGAACTGGTAGACAAGTCCAGACAGAACAACCGTCAAAACAATCATCCCCCAAACTGCCGGTTCAAATGGTTTGGTCCAATTGAGCGGATCCACATCATTGGTTTCCCTCAGAGACCGTTGCCTATCAATCAAGATGTAGCTGCCATCCGAGAATGGCTCTGGGAAAGTCACACCTCGCTCCATTCTTTCCACAGTATGATCAAAATCCCCCATTGCCATGTCATAATTTTCCACCATCCATATCAACATTTCTGTCCATGTCATGTTATAGCTACTGGGAGCAGCATCAATGACCCCAAAGGAGTTTCGCCAAGTGAAATTGGCACGTTCTGCGATCGCATCCATCAGCTCTGTCCTTAATCCTGGATTCTTCGTGTCAATGCCCTCATCGGCACTGTATTTGAAAAAAGGGTTGCCAACAACAGTGTGTGTAAAAGCAGGTCTCAATGATAGGCCCGAAAGGGCATTCCGTAGTCCAACCTCTCCAGAACGGTACTTTTCAAATCTGTCGCAGACATCTTGCCTGTGACTGACGAGGTCCGGAGTTGCGGGTGTAGTTTGAAAGGTAGCTATCTCTCCCCCAAGACCATTGGTAATAGATACACAGAGGAATACTGCAACGAACTGAAGGGAATGGCGGAGCATGATGATACGGTAGAAGGATGGAGATTTGTAATTTTGAGACAGACAGCAAAAGCATCCATTTTTCTGGCTTCCGTCGCTAATTTCCCGTTGTATTTTTCTAGCTAAAAGTCTAATAGACAGATCTCCGCAGGGAAACGGCCCGAAATCAGGATTTTAAGAATGCAATTAAATTGATCAATTCCAAACCGGAATATAAACTCGAAACCTAAATATAAAACCGAAACATAAATATAAAACCGAAACCAAATTACTATCGTAAATAAATAGAAAAATCAAGCCGAAACCAAAATATCAAATCGAAATCGAAATATCAAATCGAAATCCTAATATAAAATGGAAACCCAAATATGAAGCAAAATTACTTCTAAATCGCCATTTCGGGCCCTTTCAGCTGGATCTCCACAAGCTTCCGATTCGCTCTCATTTCTCATCACCACGTGCCTACCGGTGAGTCTAAAAATGGTAGCTACCAGGTAGACTAGCCAGCTAGCTAGCTAGTCTAGCCAGCTACATCGAGTGGTCTACGGTCTTTTGCAAAAGACAATGACTTCCAGCGAACCGGTGAGTTGAAAGCCCAAGACTGGATTTTGCTTGTGGATTCACCGTCAAAGTAGTCGCCCCGTGGAGCAATGCTGGGGACATGCCCTCATTTAGATCATCACGGGGGTTTAAGAGTACGAAGTAATTGGATTACTGTACATAGATCTACTGATTGGCTGCAACAGCACGATAGAGCAGTAGCGAGTAGGGTTACCAGGGAAGCAAGCATAGTAGGAGCCAACCCAGGACCAACCAATAATTTGCCGGCGGAAGATGACACTGGTGCCTCTTCGCGATATACATTGCATTCTGAACAACCGTCCCTCAGAACGCCCTCCGAGGACCATCCAAAAGATACTCTTTCAATCTTGCACCTCTGCCGCCAACCGAAAGATCCGAAAGATCGGCCTCCAAACAGAAAAGATCCAAAAGATTCGTAGCGGTACCTCTAAATCTTCTTCCAACAAACGGGAAGATTTCTCCATTCGCAACATTCCAACGCTCCGAGTGACAGTCTGCTATCTAGCTAGACTAGTACGACCATGGCGGCCGCGCACCCATGAGATTGTTTTTGTGCTTTGCTGCTGGTCGTAGTTATGTAACCTAACCAATTCATAGACCCCAGCATGCAGGCGACTATCTAGTAGGATCCCTCAACTTGACATTGACGAAGAAATGCGCAGACGGTCCATGATTGTGCTACTTCTCGTACTGGCCGACCTGCAGGACTATTCAAAGCTGTTCCAACTATAACCTAGCGCTGATTGATAACGTGGAGTGTCATCGTGGATGAATGAGTCATTTGTTGTCGAATCTTTTTTGGGGTATCCAGGAACGGTACTAGAGTCTAGTACCATGAAAGCTACCTGCGTGTGGCCCTGGCTCCTTAACCCTATAGTCATTTGTTTATGTTAGCTACTGTTGAAAAGGTGTGAACTTGAACGCACAATTTCTCTAATTTAATCAATATCCTTCCAGCTCTACTGTCTAGTAGACTGGCTATCTGTTTCGTTTTCTCTTTCTCTCTCGTTCAGATTGTGAGCTCTACAACT